TACACCAAACATGATGTAAAATAAGAACAAGCCAGAAGAGATGGTGGAAAGAATTTTATGCTGATAAGAAAATGATAAAGAATTTAAACTAGGTACTTTTTTTTTTCTTTCTTTTTTTGTTAAGGATTTAAACTTGGTAGACGAGTAAGTAAAATAAGAAAGTATCTTTGTTTGGCCTATACATACATATTGAAGAAGCGCATGAAGAATCGGACATGCTACATCCTGCAACTGAATGACATCTTCATCAGATTCATCATCAGATGAACACAAGCGAAATTTTCCAGATGCCTGCAAAATTATCTTATGTGTAGGGACTGGCCTTTCCTCCTCGCCCACAAAAAAGAACATATCAGATAACTCCCAATTCTCAAGAAAATTTTCAAGTCCCCACTTCTCCTAGCCCATCTGCTCATCCTCCAATTCCTCATCTACATCCTCCTATCCATTATACTCACCACATTCCACTTGTTCCCAGAGCAACATATGATTCTGTGTTAATGGCAACACATTGGCGCATTTCTATATCCTACATGTTTGTCCCAACTGCTAAGGCTGACATACCGAACATTACAGTTTGAATTTGAATCTAGCCACTGGAACATAAGATTCTGAAAAGGGTATCTTCCCTTACCAATACTAATCAACCCATCACAGATACTGATCCAATAACTCTGAAATGCTTAAGAACAACAAAGACCAAGACCTGCTTCATCAACCACAGTTTTCCCATCCACCTCAATTTTCAATCTACGATTCCTATGACTTCCAATAATCACAGTATAATGAGGACTATTATCCCTCTTATGGTGATAATGCTGACTCCCTACATTCTCCCGAAACACAACGGTAACATCATTGCAGGCAAAAGCATCAAACGCCACACATCCCCCTCCAGCTTCCCGGAATTTCAAATCCTTTCTTCAAGCACACTCAAAGGGAGCTATATTAAGAAAAGCAAATCTCCTCCTTAGCTCCGGAATATCAACAGTTGTAATTTTGTGTATATTATTCATGTATTGTTTCCTAGTTAGCTTAGATATTGTTTCCTAGTTGGATTAGATCTCGTACTTGTATTCATATAAATTGTACAGTCTTCCTTCGTTATTCTATCAATGAGGAAATCCTATTCTGATTCACACCTTCAGAGCCTGTTAGTGGTATCAGAGCTACAAGCATTATAGTATTCAATGCTGCCATCCTTAGCCTGAGGGGTTGAGTCACACATGTAGGCAACTCCACGCTACCCCTTTGTAATGTCTTATGTGTTCCATCCGCCTCAAAATTAAATTTGTGTGTCTCAATTATATAAAAGTGCTAATGTTTATGTTGAGTTTCCAACAAATTATTTTTTGGTGAAAGATTGTTGCACGAAGAAGACACTATTTCGTGGACCAAACATTCATGGGATTTATCAAATTCATGGTGGAGATTAATTTGCTTTCCTTAATAAGCTACAGTCAGAAATTTCTTTACTGTCTTTGCCATCATCCCTCCCACAAGAGAAAAACCAGTATTTTCACACCACTTGACACCTAAAACTCAATAAAAAAAACAGCAGCATGTATAGAATCTCTCTACCTGAGAGTTGGGATATTAAGACACACCACCCCCTTCTTTTATCTGATAAAAACGAAAAAAGACAAGTTTTTAACTGAAGTACAAACAAATAACAACCTTAATGCAACTGGTTCTAATAATTCTTCCAGGCATTTAAATGAAACCCAAGAAGCTAATCTCATAAGAACACAAAAAAATCTATATTAAACTTCCTACAAAATGATAACTGTAAACTAATGACACACATGGTTCAAAAGCAGAACAGTTCAACATCACTATCTAGGAGAAACACAGAAACAGCTAGAACGGTACAACTTGAGAAAAAATCTTCACCCACCAACTCCCTTTGAACACAATCTCAATCCTACACCACATTCTTATCCAAACACAAGACCAATAGGCAAAAAATATCTCCATAGATAGCCATATGAGGCTAGAAAATCAATAATAAAGACAGAATAGATGAAACAATCATGGATGGAAAATTGGGAACCCCACAAAAGAAAAAGGTATCAGCTTCTGAGGTAAAATAACAAGAAAATTCTATGGTGAATGACGGGTATTTCTTGAATTTGAATTTATCTGGCTGCAAATTATACCTTGATGAAGACAGACACGATTCAATGAAATTTTTAAAATTGGGCCTAGGTGCCATGTGGGGTTTCTGAGATTCTGAATGTCAAGCCTCGTTTCGTACTTAAGCGGAAATTTATGGCTAAAAATGGTGTTGGTGATTGAGAGGGAAAGGCGACAGAAGTGCGTGGCAGCTGGAGCTTCCTATCCTACCATTAGTACTACTTTTATTTTTTATTTTTTATTTTTAAAGATAAGCAATGAAATTAGTACTAACGACTTAAATATTACCACTAGACTTAAATATTATCAATAAACAGTTAGTTTGAGTAAAATATTTTAGTATTTTTTAGGTAGAGTTTTAAATATAAATTTTGTAAATAG